GACTTATGGTAATAGAAAGTTGGTATGTTAATTCAAAACTATCTTCTGTAATTGCTTAAGAAATCTAGTTATTGGAGGTAACTGGTTTTGTGGAGAACAAGTAATGAAATGAGACAATGCTGCTGAATACCCAATTATTTTTATTGGGTCAATCTCCAAATGTATTGAATTCATTAATTTGATTCCTCATATTTCTATTTCTGCCTGCTCCTTTTTCTCCGTAGTCACAGATGATTTCAGCATGAATGCTGTGATGCGTCTGAACCAGTACAGACCTGGCCTGGAATACCGACTTACATCTCAAACTGGCCCGGTCCACGAGCCAGTCTTCACAATGGCCGTGGACTTAAATGGGAAGACCTACGAGGCAACGGGGCCCTCCAAACGAGCTGCCAAGCTTAATGTAGCCACCAAGGAAAGATTTGTGTATTTCTATCTGTATAAGTTGCCTTTAATTTCCTTTTATTATAAAAGCTAGTCTCCTAAGTAGCCTGCTTGGCAGCTCACTTATCTGCTACCCTGACAAAATCATTTTTGACTTCTTTGTTGGTCTGAGTTACTGTTGTAGTTTACTTATTGGCTCCCTGGCACAGTTTGTTTTTGATAAACCAACAGTAAACTCGTCAGTAACGTCTACCTACCTGTGCTCTGCTGTGTGTGTATAACAAGTGCATTGTTATTTAAACCTTGTTTTATGACAAAACACCTTGCTTATTCCTGAAACGTTTGCTTGTTGTGATTGTTGACAGTATGTTCAACCATTATGACCCACTCTGGGAATGTGACTGAAGCAAGAGTTGTTCCTTTTTCGATTTCCTGTTAGTTAATGTTTTTTTTTGTCATTCACAGGTCCTGCAGGATCTCGGTCTTCCAACAGGCTCAGAATCAAAATCAGAGTCCAGTGTTGAGGTTGAAGGAACCCAGGAATCAGTAAAAGCTGCTACCACGTCCTCTACTACATCAGAAGACGTACGTGCCTCAGTACCTCCCTCTGGAGTGATGTATTTAGAAGCCCTCCCACACAGGAAAGCAGTCTCAACATTTGAAATATGACTGTAAAGTGTTTATAGTCATGTGTAATTAACAACCTTTGTTGTCCACTTGCTATGAACAGAGTGGACAGGGTCCTATCTTGACCAAAAATGGCAAGAACCCCGTGATGGAGCTGAACGAAAAGCGCCGCAGCCTAAAGTACGAGCTGTCTGCCGAGACAGGGGGCTCCCATGAAAAGTGCTTTGTCATGGAGGTGAGTCAGCAGCTGCATCACATGCAAGAAAAGACTTAATATAATCAAAAGGTGTCTGTTGTTTTGTTTTTTCACCCTTTGCTTACCAAATCTGTACACTAAAATCACTTAAACCTTTAAAGATGCAATGTTTAAGATGTGGCCAGAACATTTTTCAAAATCACAAAATGAACAAACTATCAAAAAAATAAAGAAGTAGTAACCTTTCTGATACTATGTCAAAGATGTCTGTCTTGTTTTGCAGAGATATCTACTGTAGTTAGCATGCTAACCTGCTAGCCCCACTTTGTTGTAATACCACTTGCTAGAGGTGTAAACAAACGCCAACACTGGGATGTCTATCCCATAGAAACAGACCAGTGTAGAGTCCACTAAAGATTTTCACCTCATTGTGTAAAGTGTTAAACCTTCTTACTTTGCTGACTCTTAGATAGAATAAACACTGTCAGTTTTAAAAGGGCAAAAACCTTGATGCGTTGTCTTTGCCGTGTCTATCAGGTGGAGGTTGATGGGCAGAAGTTCAAAGGGAGAGGCTCCAATAAGAAGGAGGCAAAGGCCTACGCTGCCCTCGCTGCTCTGGAGAAGCTGTTCCCAGAAGACAATGGGGTGTCAAACGCCAATAGAAATTTTTCAAAGAAGAAGGTCACCTACACCGACATGGTAATACTGCTGGAATTTGACACATGTTGGTACAAAGTTTATTAATGTTTAATAAAAGATTCAGTTCATCATTGTCACACCCCTCAAAAAGACATGCTCACTTGGAGATGCAGTTATACATTAAGACAAAATTATTATTATTTTTAATTATTATTTCCTGTTCAACAGCACATCCCAGGGTTCGGCACTATCCGTGGCATTCCTTCAGACTCCGGGTCTCGTGGCTGGGGTCCCAACAGAGGTCGAGGCAGGGGCCGAGGCAAACCATTTCCTCCAGGACCTAGCTATAACAAGAGTAAGGAATTTTACACTCACTGTGTTGGCCTTATCTTATAAAGACAATACAGGATCCTTTAAATCCATTTCATACACCGGTGAGGAAATCATCTAAATAGTAATTTCTTTCTTTTATTTTAAAAGCCAACTACAGTTATGAGAGCAGCACTGGCACAGGCTATCGTAAGTATGCACTCTGCAGTGCAGACTGACTTTAGATTGTTGTGGTGTTTTTGTTTTGCCACCGGATAACACAAATTAGGAATTACAGTTTTGTTAAGCTTTACTTATTTTACAGGAGTTAAAAATTCCAAATACACCTACCTGTATGCCAACTAGATTCCTCTTTAGTCACCCTAATATAAGTAGAAAAGTCAACATATTTATGCTGAGCACATCATGCATGTCTGAAGTTACGCTGCTGCCACGTCTCCAATGACTCTCTTGATTGATGTGTTCATTTTAGTTTGAACCAAGCACATCTTTTTTTTTTCATCAATGAAGGAAATTAGACTGTGTAAGCAACAAAATATTTTATATAGCAGTGATATTGATCTTGTCTTTTAGATAAAATGTATGGTAATAGTGCAGCCAGCATCACACCCAAAGGCAATGGTCCTGCCGGATCAGGCAGCAACATAGGCTACGGCACCTTCTACCCGGAGAGCAGCACCTACTCCTCCCCACCCGTCTCCAGCGCCGACACCAGCACCACTAAAGGAGAAAGCTACCAGTCAATGCCTCCTCCCGCAGACCAGGAGAGTCCCTACAGCTATGGGTATGGAGATGAGAAGAAGAAGATGCTGACCCAAGGTCAGAATGAGGGACAGGGAGGAGAGTACTCTATGTACAGCACAGCTTACCCTAGCTCGGTGACAGGTGGCCAAGTGTATAATAATTACGGTGAGTAAAGTCTTGGCATGCCCTGTTTCAACATCCTGTTTTAAGAGAAACTGCATCACATAAAGGAAATAATGTCTTCTGGTTTGATCTCATTCCTCAGGTTGGGGAAACCAGTCGTCCTGGGGGAATCAGCAGGGGTATGGCATGTACCAGGGTTTTGGTGAACAAAACCAGGGTTCATACTCTGGATACAGTGACATGAATTACTAATCATCACATCTTGTACAGCCTTTCTCACCTCACTGCTCTATCTTGTGACTCTTTCCACCCTCAATTTTGATCCTGGGATACCACTTCTGAAAAGAAAAAAAAGTGCTTGTTTGTCTGAAACTGGAATTTTGCTGTTTTTTGTTTTCTTTTCACCACACTTGTTAGTTCTTGGACACTTTTCAGTGAGAAATGCAGGCTTATCATTTAATTAATGTCTACCTGTTTTCTTTTTAACTACAACAAGCTTCATCATGTCCATGTTGACATGTGTAAAAACCTACATGGTTCATCATTATGTCATCTGTCTGTTTCTAGGGTGGCTGTGTTTTTTTGTTTGTTTTTTTAATCGAGAGTACTGGTTCTGTATCAGTATGTTGTTTTTATTCAGAGCTGCTTGTAGTTTTGAACTGAAGATGTATTTGTTTCTGTCACATAAAATGCTCTAACCCTTCTTGTAAAATAAATTACTTTTATTTTGGAACAATGTTTCACACCATCAGTTTTCTAACTCACAGACATGTACAAAGTTGTCAAGTTTGAGATTTTATAGATTTACATTTTCAGTTACTGTGATGGATAAAGCTCTGATATTGAATGGTCTCTGACCTGAAGCCAGTGTAGCATGCTCGTAGTATGCACGGTCTGTATGCACAGCTACGTCGCTGCTGAAGATGATTGATCATGAAGATCATTGAACCCTGAGAGAAAATGAGGTCTGAATGCACCTAAACCTTAGCCCTAAAGTTCACAAACCTGAATGAATATTCCGAATTGTGAAACAGATTACAAAAAGAATGGTCAAAATCGAAGCAATACAGGCAGAGTGTTGCTGACTTAGTCCTTAGTAAAGATCCAAAAACACTGGATCCAACATTACCCATGATGCCACTTGATGGTGTCGTTCATTAAACAATCCTGTCTTATAAACAAGCACATCTTTCAAACTCCATGGCCCCAGTTTGTAACGCAATACAATCTAAGATGAGCCTTTTTTTCAGCATCCAGGCTGAGAAGCACTCCTCCTGTAAGTTAACAGAACTTGGTCCACACTGCCTCCCCTGGGCTTGTGTGTGACAGATACCTCTCTGAATTGCTGCGGCTTGCACTCATCTGGTGTAAATAGACAGCATTGCTACTGCCAGCCCCATCTTTCTACACTGAGTTTGTCTTTGATAAAGACAATACAATAAAAGCCTTGTTAACAAATGAAGGGATTCTGTCTGCAGAAACGCTAAAGGGCTTTTAATCTGAAATGGATACAGGAGGTGTTAAGTCAACAAATCATTTTCACAATTTTTGCTGAGATCTGCCTGTGGAAAGAATAGACCAGAGACCCAATCTCTAGATGACAAGCTGCTGCAGCCCACCTGAGCTGCACTGCTAGAGTTGCTCCAGCAGTCATGTCATGGCTCTGGAACACACATTTCATAGAACAAAAAAAATAAAACGAAGTACAAGACTGCATTCTGTAAGACACTATAATTTGGTCATGCCCTCAACATTTAATTATGCTTTTATTATATAGCATTAAGCCACTGATATAAACTCAGTAGGCTACAAATTCCCAAATTATCCAAAAAGATGGAAGGAAAACAGTGATTCACAGTCTGGACACCAGCTATAATAACCACTGTCGATCACATGTGGCCCAGATGACCCTCCAGTCCCAAGACTGAGTCAGGGTGTGAGCAATGATCATGGCCCTGCACTGTGTCCCTGCATGGGCTGGTCCTCCTGCAGCCTCTCCTCCGGGAATGCTGATAAAAGGTGGGCAGGAAGAACGCTGCAAGGACGGAGAGTGTCCCACCAGGTCGTCCTGAACATTCTTCACCAGTTATCAGCTGTAAGTGTTTTTTTGGTCTTTGGCCTCTTTTATCCCTGCATGCTGACTCATACTCCTGACAAATAGATTTTCTTGTCAGACAGCATTGTTTTCTTTTTGACGGAAAAGGAATGAGGAATTAGATACGGCTTCTGTGGTTCCGCTGCTGAGGCCAATGTAAGCAATTTGATCTGTGTGTTTCATAAATCACAGAGTTTCTTATTTAACTGAAGCAGACTGATATGCTTTGTCAGACATGAAATTGTGACCTCTCACTGGCTGCTTTTATTACCTTCTATTGGCTCCACCTGGGGTATGTCAGCTTCAGGCTGCAGCCAATCACAAATCACCTTTATGCATAAAGAGAGCAAGAGAGCATGTTGTTTAGTGAGGTAGGAGGGAGAGAGGAAGTGTAGGCTTACATGAGACACATACAGCAGTGGTTGTGGTTTGTAATGATTGTGTTATCTTCCACTTCTGGTTTCTTTGCATAGGCGTGTTTACTTTCAGTTCTGGCTATGGCTAAATGTCGTGTTCTCCATTTGCGCGTGTTTAGTTCTGCTGTTTACTGAACGTCTGATTCACTTTCTTTAAAGATGGCACTTACACTGGTATCCATCTTAATTGCTGTTGTCCCTGTGGCCTATTGCTATCCTACTGCCTTCCAAGACCTGGAGGAAACTAGCAGTGAGTATTGGCTTTTGTAAAGTACTTTGTCTATGAGGTCTTGCTCCTCAGACTCTACTCCTGAAATGTTGTTTCATGTTTATATTACAGAAAACAGAACCTCCATTAAGTTCCTGGCTGTAGGAGACTGGGGTGGAGTGCCTTATCCCCCCTACATCACTGCTGTGCAGAAGGCTACTGCTCGAGAAATGAGCAAAATAGCAGAACAGATGGGAGCTGACTTTATTCTGGCCCTTGGTGACAACTTCTACTACAAAGGTGTGGACAGTGTGGATTCTCCTCGATTTAAGGTCAGTTTAGCAAACTTGATGTGTCTTTAAAATGACAACTGGGGGAAACAAAACCTGATGTTAAAGTAACATTGTAGAGGTAAAACCCTGTTTTCTCAATCTTGTATAAGGACACATTTGAGTCTGTGTACACTGCGAAGTCTCTCAGAATCCCCTGGTATGTGATTGCTGGAAATCACGACCATGCAGGGAACGTCAAAGCCCAGATCGACTACAGCCACAAATCTGACATATGGTAAAGTGTTTAAAAAGATGTGTCTAAAGTTCAGACATCCTTTAAATCTTAAAGGGATGAACTTGTTGGCATTGTTGCGCTCTGTTCTTAGGAAGTTTCCCTCTTACTATTATGAGCTGGACTTCCACATCCCCAATACGGGGAAGACCTTGACCATCATCATGCTAGACACCATAATACTGTGCGGCAACTCCGACGACTTCGCAGATGAGAAGCCCAGAGGCCCCCTGCATGCAGTGGATGCCAACCGTCAGCTGACATGGCTGCAGGAGAGACTGGCTCTGTCAAAGGCAGACTTCCTGTTGGTGGCCGGCCACTACCCTGTGTGGTCTGTGTCCGAACACGGGCCCACAGAGTGCCTTCTTCAGAGGCTTAATCCTCTGCTCATCAAATACAAGGCCACTGCTTACCTCTGCGGCCATGACCACAATCTGCAGGTTTGTGTAAATATGAACACTCTTTGTATAAATCTGCATGGCCACCCTGCCTTCAATCCCATCTTGTCTTTGCCCCTACAGTACATAGAAGATTCTGGTTTGGGCTATGTTGTGAGCGGTGCTGGAAACTTCCTGGATCCTGATGTCACTCACTGGAACAGTGTTCCCAAAGGTTCTGTGAAGTTCTTCAGCGGCCAAGCTTCAACGCTGGGAGGCTTCGTCCATGCAGAAGTCACAAAGAACCAGATGATCGTGACCTTCTACCAGGCTAAAGGCACTTCTCTCTATCGCACGGTCCTCTCTGAAAGGAACTTTGAGTAGACTAGCTAACAAAGGAATTTAGTTCAAATTTAATTACATACAGCATTAGTAAGCAGTGTAGTGTGAGATTGGCGTAATGGCTGTTAATCCTGTGGGTTTTTAAGTTTGGCATTAATATTTCAAAGCAATTGCTGCGGCTTTTAAATTTGTTTTTACATGTAAATTTACTGTATGATAAAGGGATGTGGTTTTTATTTTTTTAAGAGTGTGGGGTTTTTGTTTTTTTTTTCATCTGCAATGGAAAACTAATCTGTTTCTGTACAGAAATCTGAAATAAATTTGGGTGCTGTAGTAAACTGTTTTGATCAATGTGATCGTTTGTCAGGTCTGGTATGTGAATCAATTGTGGCCTTAATTTAAACCCATCAGCACCTGGTGGCTGCTGCTCTTGTATTAAACTCTTAAGTTTGACTGGAAATGCCTTCACATTTCAAAAGATTATGGGCTCTGTTCCTCATCTGCACTTCATTCCCCCTGCGCTATACTTGAAATGCTACGTGTACACAACATTTCTCTGCAAAAACATTACAGGAGCCACAAAGCACATGAAATATGATGTGGTAGATTTGCTCACATGATTCTAGGTGGAATGCACAGAGTCTGCAGTCCATTCAAGTTTACTAGGATGTCTATTGGACAAACGGCGTCTTGCTTTGTCAGATGACTGCTTATTAAGCATATACCATGAACTTGCAGTTATGCACATCAAAGCCATAAAATGGATTACTGCAATTCCTTATCAGGCTGCTCAAAAGTCCATTAAGGCTCTTCAGCTGATCGAGAATGCTGCAGCACGTGTTCTGACAGGAACCAGGAAAAGTGTTCACATTTCTCCTTTTAGCTTCTCTGCATTGGCTTCCTGTAAAATCCAGAATAGAACTTAAAATTCTTCTTACCTACAAAGCTCTTGATGGTCAGGCTTATCTTAAAGAGCTCATAGTACCTTACTACCCCACCAGAGCACTGCACTCTCAGAATGCAGGGTTACTTGTTGTTCCTAGAGTCTCCCCCCTAGTTGCTGGAGAGGTGCCAGTTCACCTCCTGGGCACTGCCGAAGGAGGCCTTGAGCGAGCCCCTGAAACCCCAACTGCTCGGGGCGCTGCACTGAGTGGCAGCCCCCTCACTCTGACATGGGTCCCGTTTGTGCATGTGTGTGTATTTCGGACCTGTGTGTAAAAATACTTACAGTACTTATAATAGAGTGAAAACATTGAGTTTCCCCTCGCAGGATTAAATAAAGTATATCTTCTATCTTCTTCAAAAGTAGAATGGGTGCCAGAGCGTTCAGCTATCAAGCTCCTCTCCTGTGTAACCAGGTTCCGGTTTGGGTTCAGGAGGCAGACACCATCTCCACATTTAAGAGTTGGCTGAAGACTTTCCTCTTTGATAAAGCTTATAGTTAGGGCTTCTTCCTCTTAAAAGGAAGTTTTTCCTTGCCTCTGTCGCATAGTGCTTGCTCTTGGTGGGAACTGTTGGGTTTCTGTAAATAACATCACAGAATATGGTCTAGACCTGCTCTTTTATGAAAAGCGCTCTGAGATAACTGTTGAATTGAACTGAATTGAGCAAAATCCATGATGCAGGGATGAGAAATACATGAGAGCTGTATTTTAAAGAGGTGGTATTATGCTCATTTTCAGATTCAAAATCTTATTTAGGGGTTGTACCAGAACATGGTTAAATTTAAAAAAAAACACCATATTTTTTGTCACACTGCACATTGCTGCAGCTCCTCTTTTCACCCTGTGTGTTGAACGCTTCGTTTCAGCTATAGAGTGATACATCTTGTCTCTAAATTATCTTTGTAGGGAGTTGCGCAGTTCCTAATGAAGGACTACTAGCCAATCAGAAGCAGAGAAGTGCGGGTCAGTGAGAAGCCGGTAAACACGGATTCATTTCAGCTGTATATGTTGCCGACCAGCTTGGCAACATGGACTGGAGCAAGAGTTTCAGAGTGGTGAGTTGTTAATCTGTAACAAATGTATTTTTCATCCATAAAGTTTTAACTGTGCCTCTACATTACAGTAACAACTTTATGTCCCTTGACTGCCTGGAGGGTAGCTAGTGTTTGGAAGAGAGAGGAGAGGTGTGTGTTTTTTTGAGTGCGTGTCGGAGTAGCCGCTTGGTGAGTGTTATATGAGGCGCATTTAGCTTTCATCCCTGTGACGTCACAGGGATGAAAGCTAGAATACAAACGAGCTGTTTTCAGGCAGTTCAGAGCAGTGTATTCTGTGGGAGATGGGAACTCCCTTTGGGGTGGACTTTGGGCTTTTTCACTTTGCAAACCTATGACATGCACAAAAAAGGTATAACTCAAAAAAGGAGAGTTAAAAAGCCAAAAAGCATAATACCACCTTTAAAACCCATTTCAAAGTACACAATTTCATTGCTATTTGCAAATGTCTCAAACACAAGAACTATTGTAACAAATTTGGATGCTATTGCCCATAAATGTGCAGTTACATGCAGTAGTTTTATGCTTGCCATATTAGAAGCCTGTGTCCTGAGTTGACAGGGTTGGCTGCTGCTGACAGACAGGAGAGGTCAAGATTTGCACAGTCACTGCTTTTTTGTCCATCACAGAGAACCACCTGGCCTGCCAACAGAGGATTAGGCTGAATGACGGCAGATTGGCAGTGGCTGCAACCAGGATAAACTCAGTCAACCAATGACAATTAACCTGAGAAAGCAGGGAGCAGAGGTCTAGAACAGCTATTTTTCTCCTCCCTCCTGCTGACATGTTGAATTATTTAGCTTTTCTGCCTTTATTGTCTGTAGGATCTAAGCAGTTTTCACCTCCAAGCAGATCTCATCTTTTCATTCTGCATCAAGAAAATAAATGTACAGTATGTACACTTCACGCAAATAACAACTGTGTTGGTTAATAGGCTCACAAATACCCAAAAAGGCCAGGACACGCTGTAATGTCTTTTTGTATTATGCATTGAAATGCCATAGAGATTTGTTTTCCCTTGCGTTTTTCATGTCTTAACCACTGTCTGGCTACTGTAGCGTTACTGACTGGTGTGTTGTCCTGATCCTATTAGGATGAGCTACAGTCCGCTGGTGTCATGCTTCGTAAGACAGAGAGCTGGACTGACAGAACTGAGTCAATGCCAACAAGAAATCGGCAGATAAGCTGTCACCTGAGGATAAAGGACAGGTAAGGATCACTTAACCCTGACTGACTCCAGAGTCAGGTTAGGTCAGACAGACCAATGATTAAACACTATCTGAATTTACAGAAAGTGCATGACCTACCTACTCAGCACCAAATGGCAGACAAAGTCAGTGAGTGAACATAGTGGAGTGTTTAGCAGCTACAGAGACAAATATTACCCTCAGCAGTTTGGCGAGACCAAAACCAGAGCTAAAAGAGAGTGAACATTGGACTTACATTCTCCAGGTTGCCAGAAACAACTCCAGATGAATGATAATGTTGCTCCGTGACTGCTGGGTGTGTAAATAAGCAGCTGGTGTTGCTAACAATTTTATCAACTTAGAAAGTAATTTGTCAGTGTTATCAGTCAGTTACAATTTGTTACCGCTGCCCTCAAAGTGGCAAAAAAATCAGTTGTTGCAGGTTTAAATGTAAGCTGTGATCAGAAAATAGCTGCTACTGGTCATCGTTTTTATAGATGAGATTTCAAAGCAAAACGGGAAACCTTCCCACCTTCAGTAATCCTGCGCTCACATGTTCCACTTCAAATCCAGACAACAGCTAATCCTAAAATGTCTCTTGACACTGGTGAGCAGAAATGAATGGCTGATTTCACAAGCATCCATCCATCGTCAACCGCTTATTCTGCGTACAGGGTCGCGGGGGATTTCACAAGCAGTTATACTTAATTTTCTCATTTGCTTGTTGATTATGCTGTCATACAATGTGGAGTTATTATTCCAAGAATGTAGTGTAGGATATGCACGGGTACGTCCTGAGCTTTGGTTTGACCTAACTGACACTGAAACCTTAATATAACCTAAATATAACGTCTTTCTAAACTCCGCACCCAACACTAGACAAGCATTGCATCACATAATTTTTATAACCTGCAAGATTGCTTTTAATAGCACAGAAAAAATTAAACAAACTTTTAAACCTGGGGTCAACTAGTACACTGAGAAATCCTGCAACCCAAATACTAAAGGTCAGAAGCTACCTTAGAAAATAAATAAACATTGTGTGAAATGTGACATTATTACTCAGGGTTAAAGTGAGGGTCTGGAACATTCTGGTGTATCGCCTCCTCACAGTCTTCTTTGAGCTTATCTGGCTCCACCTTAAGCCATAACCCCTTTGCACCAATTAGAGAGCTCCAGTGCTACCAATGCATCTCCCACAGCATCAGTGTGGCGTTTAGAGTGCTATGATCTCCTGCCTCAGGAAATAAGATTAGTTAACTTATTATCTTCCCTCAAGTCAGAACTGAAAAATACATTTTTTTTAAACTAAATTTAAATAGAAACTTGATTTCTTAAAATAAAGAGTGCAGGTGTTGGTTTATTTGAAACCCACACATTGTTCCAAAGAACCAACTAAGTAAGAACTAATGGGAAGTAGAAGAAGAAATCTAATAAAGAGAGAGAGGAACTTCACTTTTGAAAATCACGCAGAAAACACAAAAAAAGATATTTCTCATGTGAAATAACCAAAACTGTTATAACTTGGCAGGAAAGTCCGTGTTGGATGTCATAAGTTGGATGTCAACATAGACCCCTCTGCCCAGATCTCCAATGCTGTCATGCAAGACCCACATCCCACACACAATACAATCATGCTGCTTTGGACTTAAATCAAACCCACTCTGCTGCACTGAGCTCTCCCTTCCCCACTTATCACTGACTCCACGCTTCCTTTCTACTCTTCACTCAACACTCTTCCCTCTTGAAACTCCTGGATACAGCCTGGATGCAATTAATCCTAAAACCAGAATAACCATGCACGTTTCTGAAGTTCGTCCACTGAGATTGGGCTGCTGCAACTCATTATCTAATTCCACAGCTCAAAAGTAATGAAAGGATGTTGTATTAAAGGCTAAGCTGCTCATGTAATCTTCTCTCCCTAATCTCTGTCCCTCACTGAATACAGGCGCTCGGGGTTTCACAGATGGAATAAACAGTGTTAACTCAATGCGACTGCCCCAAAATGATCTAATATAAAAAAGACAATGTTAATACTTTGATGTTTATCCAGAGATTGACAGTGAAGGTGGAACAATCTACTTTTTATCTATGGGCACAGCAAATAAAAAATAAATGAAGATGCATGTACTGTGTGTGTGTGTGTGTGTGTGTGTGTGTGTGTGTGTGTGTGTGTGTGTGTGTGTGACGTCACCGCCTTCATGTGCTTTTAATATCCCAGGATTTCTGCATCTTAGCCAATATCCTGCTTAAAATGGACCCTGGAATCTGTCTTTTTGAGTTGCGTAACAGTTTTTTTTAATGCCAACAAGCAAGAATAGAGTGCTACATGCCTTCTGCAGTTACACCCTAAACACACACTGTCATATTTTAACAGTTTAACAGAGATGACTCCAGTGAATCATATACCAATAATAGGCCATAATGCAGTACCTATGTCACACACAATGCTTTTTTTTCACCGATTTAATACAATTCACTTTCAAATACTCAGATTCTTAAAAAATAGGATTTTATTGCTGGATTTTAGTGGTTTACTTAGCCAAAAAAGATAAGCAGAGTTGATCACTCTATTTCTGAGCCTTCAATCACACAGTCACGTGAAAGCGGTCATCTCCAGTAATTGAATTAACTTCACCCTATTAGTTACTAAGTTAGGTCAATCCTCCAAGGGACTGGAAATACATTTAGCTTTGGAATAAGACACACAAGTGCTAGCAAGCATTATCTTAGTAGACACCAGTATTGAGCTTTATTTGACACAAGAACTCAACACAAAGACATGGTTCTCCTGTAATGTGCACACTGCTGCCTTCATTATTCCTCTTCAAGTCTGAATACTACATTGGGGAATCACTTAGTAAATCAGTGAAGCTTTAAGACATGATTTTGACTGTCTCTGTCATTGACTGGAGTTAAAGACACATGAAACCAAACATTTTAATTCTGCATTGTTTTATGTTTTACGTATCTGAAGTTCGTCGAATCATGGTAAAGAAGGTAAATAGTAATGACGCTAACTTGGCACAAATCCACAGGAAAAGTGAAGACCGTCTGTCCCAGTGTGTGTGCCAGGCCCTTGGTCAAGTAGACCCACCAGTTACTCCGAAAGAAGTAAATCCATTCAGGTTGGCCTTGATCGCTGCTTGTGTATGATTCCAGTCAGATTTGGATTTAATTCTCTGCAGGTCATATGATGTTGCTGGATTTGTGACACTCGCTGATTTTCATCAGATCTTCTCAGAAATTGCTACATTTTGTCAAATTTTTTCCTTTAAAAAGTAGATTGGGCTAAAATGGGGTTCAGAGGTGAAAACAAGGAGCTAAAGATGCTCAACTAAAGATGAAAAGCAAAGCAAGAGGGGGGGGAAAGAGCAGTTAAAAGGAGATGCACCATATAAAAACAGTTTGGGATCCTTTACTTTGCCTCATGCGTCACTCTCCCTGGGAATTGGATGACCGTAGGATGGGCTATTGTTGGTGAGGGAGGTGGGAAAAAATGAAGGTATGTACGGGATGACGGTCATCAGAGGGCTGGTCAGCGGGCTCTCATTTTGGTGACTCATGGGGATGATGACGTCGTCCTGGTCCCACACATGGAAGGCATTTGGGTGGGAGAGGCTGAGGGCAGGTGGCATATGCAGAGGGCTGACTCCTCCCCCCTCTCCATCTTTTTTCAGGTCCTCATCCACTGGGCCCAACAAACAGTCTGTGGACGGATAAAAGTCGAGGGATGATAATGTAACAATTTATCCCAACCACCCCAATCCCAGTTAATCTTTTTTTAAAAAGCCCATCTGTTTTTTGTTTAATCATGTCAAACACATTTGGTTAATTATTGCTGCACATTTGCTTCACCTCCTACGGGTATGATTCCCATTTAAATTTAACAAAATTCAACACATATCCACAATGTAATGACAAGCACGGTACATTTACCCTTTCTTAGAGGATATGTACCCACAGCACAGTTTGACAGGCTTTTGACAATCTGAAATACATTTTTGAGTACATAATCAAACAATAACATGTGTATGGAAGCTTCAGTGCATCATGTCATTGCAGATGTCACATTAATTTTGTCAAAATTCAGTCAGTGCAGATGTCTTGATGGTAGATGATGGATCAAATCCCATTACTATACCTCAACAGGTTAATTTTTTGCCTTCTCAACAAATATGTACTATATTGTCTATATTGTCGAACTTATATTATACTTTTTTACTTGATGAGTAAGACTAGACAGCACAAAATGACTAGATTGTTAAGCTTATGAAGAGGTCAAACAGAATTCTGATATATCTGATATATAGCTATATATATATATATATAAGACAGCTACATCTCATAGGTTTGAGTACCTGTTATATCCAGCATGAGCTCTTTGATGAGGTGACCCACGATAGCGTAAGCAACAGCAACCACGACCAGAGCAGCCATCAAGAGGTAGAGAACAGATTTAGGTAGCTGGATGAGGTCCCTGGGAGGAGGCTTGTACTCCTTGTACAGAGGCTCCCCATTATGAACCAAGTACATGAATGAAAGTCCGCCACCGTCTGTGTTGTTAAAGCTGTCCATATTCCCAGAGTTGGAAACTCCACTTCGCCCAGTGAGAAGTAGTTATTCCATTTTACTCAAAGTGAAAGAAATTTGATTGATCCACTTGCTGAGGTGTCACGCCCTATAATCCAGAGAGCCAAAGTCAAAGTCTACTGCTTACAGTAACATATTATATATTTATATCTGACCGTTTAATTAACTTTAATATTAGGCAGATGGAGTGCGATTATATTCAACTAGCCTTCTGAATTTACCCTTTTATTAACATACAATGGATACTTTTCTGACACTTTAGCAACATGAAAATAGGCCAGTACATTCACCCACCTGTACGCAAGCATTTGCAGCTTCCAGATTAAACACAGTTGGATCTTTGCAGTGCCGGTTCACCAACATGTTTCTACACAGCGGTTAATTGCTTTCATTAGTATCATACTGGATATCATCAGTTCATCCTCCACCAGACATCAGAACATTTCAGACAGCCTCTGCGCTTCTCTGCGGTTTGCTGTGTCCTCTATGCTGAAATAATCCAGACTAGTGGGTGGTGACACAGAGAGGCAGAGAGATGGGAAGGGAGAGATTACATGTCCAATCACAGCAGATCATCAACCCCTCATCCCATCCCACACAGAATACTTAATCCACCACAATCACTGAGTGAGTGTGTTCTCCCCTATAATGCTCATACCTATTAAACCACTCACACACATATATAAAAAGAAAAAGAAATCTCAACTGACTGGAAAGGCTTAAACTGCCCCACTTTTGGCTTTGTCTTTTTTCTACTAGGCCTAATATAATATCTCATATCCTCTCATTGGTCTGTGTAAAAAGATGATACAGGAGGTTTTCTGTCCATATTCTAAATATAATGGGTGCTACATTAGTTGAATTTGTTGAAAACATTGTTAGAAAGCAGCCAGTGCATTGAGGTACTCAAAATTAAGTATTTCCATTTTCTGCTAAACTTACTTTTCACCTAATTGATCTAATAACAATAGAAATTAAGTGAAAATTAGTTTAACGTTTAAAAAAAAAAATTTAATTAATTTCAATAACACAAAAATAAAACTGGTAAAGGGACTAGTACAGGGCTGTATATTGAGTGTTTTCATAATTTAACGTTAACAGTGTAACGTTATGCTTGTAACGTTAGTATTTGTACACTGAGTGTAGCAACTTTAACTTCTTCCACTAATTTACTGCTAACCAGGTGAGAAAACATCTAACTTCGTTTTAACCATACTGTATATAAATATATTATATGTAGTCTATGAGTTTTATAAAATAACGTAAAAAAACACAAAACATATAAAACAGGTTGCTTGGGTTCGGCTACTTTAACAACAGACAGTCACTGCCTAGCTACAGTAGTTATGTTAGCTGCACTTAACTAACGTTAGCTAGTGACTGCAGACGTTTGCTAAGTTACGCTTATTAAACAGCAATCACTAACGCAATGTTTGTGTTGGTGGCATTACAAGCATGTGTTTGCTGTGTTCTGTAACTACAAAACAGTTACCTATATATATTATGTGGTCTGTCAATGTGATGCTAAATGTAATGTTACATTTTACAGCCAAGTGGGATTAGCTAAAGGGAAAGGTGTGTGTAGCTAGACGTTAAGTGAGAACTGAGCCTTTTGCTAACGATACATTTTACTCAGAATGAGTTAATTATGTTCCTAGAAAATAATATTTTTTCACTAAGGTTACATGTGTTTACAGCTGTTTCTTTTTTTATTCAATTCACATTTAACTGCTGGCCCCTGCAGAGTCAAACTGATCAAAATGGATTTTTTCTTTGAGGACCTACCAACCACCTCACAGTCCACTCCCAACAGCGATCATGGAGAGTCACAATCGGTAACATTTATTAATAATACGGATGTCATAATGAATAAATGGGAAAATAGACCTTACAATAAATACTTGTTCACACAGCACATCTTGTGTGTTGCCACAGATTTTAATTGATTTCCCAGAAGTAACATTTTGTTCTCACAAGATCAACATACATTTTTATGGGGGCTGTTTTTTGGGATCTGTGAAATCATACTTGCACAGTAACGTTGAATGTTTACTGTCAGCCATTGCACACCTGTTGATGATGGAAAACTTTAGCTGTTTTTCCCCACTGTCTTTGGCAATACAGACAGAAGACATAGACTATGACTCATCAAGAGGGAAGTCATCAAGCTTGAGTTTGAGCATGACTAAGATTCAAGAGCAGCAAACCAGGTACACAGTTACCTATACTGTCCCTGAAGTGATCATTTATGTAGTGGCTGCTTTTTCCTGAGCAGTAACCTACTATCCACTTGCCCCAGGACGAACAGCACACTGTTCCTCAATAATTAAGCCATTTAAGTTATAGCCACATTTAGCATGTCAATATCTATTGTAGCTCAAGCATCGATGAAATCAGCAGGAGAGTGCAGGATCTGGTTGAAAAGGTCAATGACAGCCGCACTAGTGACCAGAAAGTGATGGACGGCTTTCAGGATAAGCTTGTGGAGAAGGTAAAATACTTATTTTGTGCTTCTGATCCTATTCTGCAATGTACATACTTACCAAACACTCCTTTAATGATGTGATGTTTGGCCTGAATGCACTTCATGCTTTTATAGTGAATTGATACTATTGTTCTTGTACTGTCCCTGTCCACAAATGTTGTAGTCTGGTAAATGGTTAGATTTACCCCCCCACACACACACATTTTTATTCCCTAGGTGTCCGAGATGTGCCAGCAGATGAAGGAGCACATGTACACAGTCTACGAAAAGAACAGTAATGACATGCAGGTGAAGCTGCAGGAGGTGTCAGAGGTGCTGGAGAGCTGCACTAAGCTCAACCAGGAGCTCCTGGAGGCCAGCCAGGCACTGACAGGTCTGAGAGAGGCCCTGGCCATAAGCCAGTCCTCAGAACCCTTATAAACCAGATATTGTCTCATGTCCGTATTATTTTGAACTAGTTAATGTGTCATTTTGTTTAATATTATATTGAGTATTCGGAATAGTTGACCTTGTCTAGATTACTCATTTTCCCTTCCTCTTTCTCCAAGAATACATGGTTGACTATATCTTTGTTTTCTGGACAGTAGTTCATGTTACAACCCATGACTGCAGTCGAAACCAAAAGCTGAATCCATGTTCCCTTTGTGTATCTGCTTATTCAATAAATAAAACTACAACATTTTATATTTGTTATGCTGACCTTACATATTGACCAGAGACATCAAATGGGGGCAGTAATAGATGACTCCCACCCATAATCTGAAAACATATGAGGTATTTGGGATTTATCCCACATGGCAAAGCTAATGCAAGGGCGATTGAGTGTACTGTGTGTTTTGACACTTATAAGTTTGCCCTGTGAGGCCATGATTCTCAGAGGGCAGTTGAACAGGTAGTACAGTACAAATCCACATAAATGTCCATTTCAAGTAGATGATCGAGAACATTTACTGTCCAACAGTGAAAGCCTGCAGTCCCGTGATAGCTCTGCCCAGGATCAAGGCATGAATGTCATGAGTTCCTAAAATGAACAATAAAAAAACATAAACAAGTTGTTTTCACATAACTTTCACAAGATACTTGTTAGTAAAAATCATGATATTCCTCAGAAGTTGTTTTTTCCAAATTTTCCTTTCTTTAACCATGCGATTTTCATGAATTTAATCAAAATGTAGACAGAGTTCTTGAATGTGTAAACCATAGGCGTCAACCTCTACTAATCTGTACACTGCTGACCTCTAGTGGTGGATAAATACAACTAAAGTTTGAAATCCTTTTCACTGCAATATAGCCTTCTGTTTGTACTTGGTACTTAAAATGGTGAAAAAAGACTAGGTGTATCCACTGATGCTTGCCTACCCTCGTATGTGTTCACGGCCTCCAGGTTCATGACGTGTCGGATGATGTGGTACTCATCTGCGATCCCATTTCCTCCCAGCATGTCTCTGGCTTGTCTGGCAATATCCAAAGCTTTGCCACAGCTATTCCTCTTTAGCAAGGAGATCATCTCTGGTGCTGCTCTATTAGGAGAATACATACATTAAAGGAAAAGCGATTTAGCAGAAGAGAGGACCTGTGGTTAACAGAGGCCAACACAAACACGTGAAGGACATTTAAAGACAGAAAGGGAAGACTCACTTCTTTTCATCAATAAGTCTTCCCAGGGCCAGACATGACTGCAGCCCGAGGGTAATCTCTGTCAGCATGTCAGCCATTTTCTTCTGCATCAGCTGATTCCTGGCCAGTGGCACCCCAAACTGGATTCTGATTGGAGGGTAGAGAGACTTGGAAATCAATCCTTCTCTTAAAAAAAGCTGAGGCTGGCATAACATGAGGAGACAATCTGGATATATGCGGTATGATAATGCTCATGTTCACACTTTTTCCACTGGATGTCTATAAGGTCCTGGGACCTTGACTTTATACTGTAGACAGAATATCAGGTACCTGTCCAGAGTGTACTGTCGGGCAGTGTGGAAGCAGAATTCAGCAGCTCCCAGAGCTCCCCATGCAATGCCATACCGGGCATTGTTCAGACAGCCAAAAGGACCCTGGTCACAAAGGTCAACACAACAAAAGGAGTGTAAGCACATAGTAACATTAACAGACAACATTTATTTGGTTTCAGTTAAACTTCATTTAACAGAGCAGCCACTTACAGCTAGACCAGAGACGTTGGGTAGTAGGTTCTCCTGGGGAACTTCCACTTCATCCATCAGGATCATGCCAGTGGCGGACGCCCTCAGTGAGAACTTGCCTTCGATCTTGGGGGTGGCAAAACCCTTCATTCCACGTTCCAAGATGAAACCCCGCACTCTGCCATCTTCACACTTAGCCCACACCACTGCGATGTCTGCCACGGGGGAATTTGTGATCCTAGCAGAGGAAGGAGTGAGTAACAAGACAAAAGACCTTTGGTAATGAAGAATCTCAAACATTAACTGCATGATTACACATTTTAGTAGTTGAATTTAGTTTAGTTTTAGGTTAAGTTTTCAGTTTTAACTGACCTCATATCTATTACTAACCTACCCCAAAAGACAGGAGCAGTAGTGTACCAGCAGCACTGAAGTAACACTTAACATTTTAAACTACCTTATAGTCCACAATTAAAGGCTACCCTGGGACAGCATGTTTTTTCCTTGTTCTCCATTGCAGCACTGAGTAAAATAGGACTTTTAAATTGGTAGTAGTAAAGTTAATTGTTCTTTATTTTGTTGACATATAATTAATTATTCCTATTATATATGTTTTCCATACTATATCAGAGTTCAAGTACAAGTTAAGTCAAGCTCAGCACTGAAACCAAACAACCATCTTCTATGGTGGCATCTAACACACAAATCAATGTCCAGGACGCAGTATCTTCATGTTTGTCCCATTCTAATAGAGATCTTTGAGAAAACACTCTATCAGGAAAGCCAGTGCTTCTTGTGTGCATCTGTGTACCTACCAGGTCTTGGCTCCACTGATGGTGAAGGTGCCACTGGATGGGTTGTATTTGGCCTTGGTCTCCATACTGCTGGGATCACTGCCGTGGTTGGGCTCTGTCAAGCCAAAGCAGCCCAGGATTTCTCCACGAGCTGCAAGACAAATGGAAACACAGGAGGGCAATCTTGACACCATGTTTTGCCATTTTTAAAATGTCATGTCCAAATGCAAAGAAAATATCGCTCTCACCAAGCCGTGGCAGGTATTTCTCCTTCTGGACCTCTGTCCCGTATGCATTGATAGGGTGCATGACCAGCGAAGACTGAACACTCATGACTGACCGATACCCACTGTCCACTCTCTCAACCTCTCTGGCAATCAAGCCGTATGCCACATAACTAGTGCCTGCACAGCCGTACCCTGCAGGGTAAATAAAACAGTGTAAAGCAAACTAATTCCAAACATGACGAAAAAGGTTGTAGTGTACTGAAGACGTTGGCAGAACTAAGACATAAAAACATACAGATGGCACATAAAGATCTTCATAATACTGCAGAACAAAGACATCCATTTTTAAGCAAATGTTTTGTATTATGTTGGACAAATGAATGATAACATACTTTTGTTTCTGTTTACCTTTAATAGTTGGGCCTAAGACGCCCAACTCTCCCATCTCTGAGACAATCTCACGGTGGAAATCTGTAGCATGGTGCATGTTGGGATAAAAGAAACTGAAAATCAAATATTTATCCAAAAATTTAATTACTCTGTGCTATGCGGATATTTTTCTCCATATTCTACATTATAAGAGACTTAATGCACAGACACAAGACTATAAACAACAAAAACTTCAGTTCAGGTTCTTTGAGCTTAACGGAAGTTAGTCTGTATAGTCCAACACAGACAGAACTCCTCTGTGTGATCTGATCATGGATGTGTGCTTTGCTTACGTTCATGTCTGTTGGCCATGAGGATACGGGGCATGAGTTTCTCCTGGCAGTAGTCGCGGAAGGAGTCCCGGATCATGATCTCCTCCTCAGTCAGCTGACCCTCCAGATTGAGGGCGTCCCGCCAGTTGAATGGCACCTTGGCTGAGGGCCAAAACATGTATCACACACACACACACACACACACACAGGTTATGTCATTGTGATGTGGTAACAGAATGTGTGAAGGTATCTGGACAGACCAGGCTCTCTCCATTAAAATTTCACTTACGTGCCTTTGCCGGCTTTTTGATTTTCTCAACATCTAAAGGAAGAAAAATACAAATGTTGAGTTTCGTGGGTCATCTTACACATACTTAAATAACTTATTTTCACCTCCTGTATGTTTCCTACATTGAGAGATTTCCTTAAAAACTGTCAGTCCAAACTTGGTCTTACCATTCTTTCTATACATTAAAAGAATGAATAAAGAATTTAAAATGTACCTTGGGGAGCTGCAGCAGCTGTGCCCTGGGCTCTGGACACTGTGACAGCAGCACATTTTTGGCTGTTTGAAAGCAAACAGGTGACAGCACCTCTGAGAGCCATATGTTTACTAAACATGAAGGAAATGAAAAAAATATATAGTTGTAATATTTTTTGCAGGCACATTTCCCAGTTTATGACAGTGTTATGTGACAATGTTATATGTTGAGTTGCCAGACCAAGCTTGTCAAAATATAACACATTACAATTTTCTTTTAATTTTTTATTTTCTTTGTTACATAATGTAAGGTGCTTTGTAGTTGGCTACACCATTTTTTATTATTATTGCATAATTATAATTCCATGCAGGACAGAAAATAAAAGTTTGGATATTGATTATACACTGTGTTAGAATACTATTTTACATGTTTTCTCAGCTCTTCTGGATACAGAGAAACAACTGTAGCCTCTTAATCATGTTTGACATGAACAAAAAACAAAGTAACAGCTCTTGTGAGCAATGTTTAAATATCCTAAATCAACTAGTCCAAGCAACAATGTAAACTTTTGGTAACTTTTTTTTAGGAAACCCTTAAGTCTAAACCTCCATTTGTACAGTACCTTTTTCTTCTGGGCTGGTTTGTCTGATGATCCGATGACTTTTTCCGCTGTGATGTGGGCGATCAAAGTTGCTTAAATAATATTTCGCCTGGTGCAACGTCATAGGGATACGTAACCTCCATGCTGGTGAGGCAAAAGACACTGGACCCGTGCACGACAGATAGTTGTGCAACGCATGAAAGTTATGCAACAAACCTCGAATTGCAAAATTAAATATATTAAATACACTTGGGGAGTTTAATTGTCTGTTGGGTGTATTTTATGCTGTTCCATGTACAGTGCACGGCATATTTTTTTAAGTTCTAGGAGGTGTGTGAACTAAACTTGCAACACATTTCCACACTCAAAATGGCGTTTATGGACGGCTGTGGGACCGGGGTGTGTCGGCCCACGCCCCTACAGCTCATTGGCTGGTATATTGAGGAAGTGTACCCAACTTTTGTAAGTGACACTGCACCTGACTGCGGCAGCAACAGCTATCAACAGTTTTTAGATCTACCAGTCTTAAAGTTGAGGTTATGGTTATTTAGTATACCTTTGATGTGCTGACATTGTGAGGGAAATGTTTTGTAGGTAATATATTTAAGGACAGAAAGAAAGCAAAGACAAAAATTGGCATTTTGTCTATAAAATGTGAAAACATTGGCCTCATAGCCCCTTGGATTTTAAAGAGAAAAGACAGATGACCTTTAGATATAACTTTGGTATTGTTCTGGATGAACAATGAACCAATTAAACCACTGACATTAAATCAGTTGACATTGTCAAGAATAATGTTACCAAGAAGCTCGGCAACATGTAGGCCTATTTGTTTGTTTGTTTGACTGATTGTCTGTTGTTTTAGATACCTAAAATGACTCTATTATTTTCTTAAGAAACCTGATAACATTTCATACCTTTAAATTATTCATTGCTTTACCGACACATCTACACATGACACTTTTGTGGTCAAAGGTGTGGCAGAGCTGTTACCTGCCACAGTTTCCCTTCCAGCCAGTTGAGTTACATAAAAATATGTGATAGTCTCTCCTAAATGTTTGTCTTTCAGAGACATTATTCATTTTGGTAGGAATCGAGTTTGTATATTTGTTTTGTTTTTGTACAGCACAGGTTGCTGTAGTGTCTGTAAGAGCTGAGTGGAAGACAGAAAATAGCAAGACAGTCTTTTCTGTGCTTTGGCCTGTTCCATCTCATGAAACTGTGTTTCCGGATGGTAGTCGGCTTAACTGTATGATTATCTATTGATTTCTGTAAGTAAATTACAGGGTATCCTGCTCCTGTGATCCACTGCTTATGAACTGAAAATGTGTTTCTTTTACAGTAAAATAAACACTTTCCCCTCAAAGCAGTGGAGATTTTGCTCCAGTGGTACATAAATGTGACAATAGCATGCAATAAAAACCTATAGGAACATTGAAAATTGTATTTAAGTCAATATACAGAAGTATAATATATATATCGTATTTAATAATGTCTATGTTAAATGTTGAGCCAATTTTGACTACGTTATATAGGCTTATATTACCACTGAGCAGTGATCAGTGAACACACTGATCATATGCTTTGTGTGAAAAAACCTTAATCATCAAAGTAGCTGTAGGCCTACATGCGATTTTGTAGCCTATACAGTGGTGTAGAGGACATTTCCCTCTCAATTGTAGAGAAGTATAATATGGCAGAAAATACTTACCCTGAGTAACAAGAATCTCTAATTTGTTCTCAAGTAGCCTATAATTATAGATGAGCCGATTTGATTAGCCTTTATTGTCCCCAAGGGACAATTTCTTTTGCAACAGTCGTTAAAACACATAAAACATACAATAGGTGTTGTCAGCATACAGTAAAGCCATGAAGACCATGAAATTTAGAGCACTATATATCCTTAACTCCAGTATTACAATATATGTGCAGCAACCAGGCATACAGTTTGTTTAAAAACCCAACAGCTGATGCAACCTACTTTGTTATTTTTCACCACTCCTTTGTCTCACAAAAAACAAACAAAACATGTAAACTATCTGAATGAGTGTTGATCATAAAAACCGGTTATTTTAAACGTCTTTCTAGACGCATAAAATGTTCATTAGACTATAGAAACACGCCTTCACAAACACGCTACACATTCCATTGAAGTAGCGGCGAGAGAAATGTGTTTGTCCCGCTAAGGAGCACTGTGATTGGCTGTGGCAGCTGTCTGTTTCCCTTCTCTGCGCTGTCATTGGCTGGATTTCCTCTCCGTTAACCTGGAGTCTAAATGCGCCGTGCTTCACTTCGGTTTTCAGCACTGTAGCAGCCACTGTTATTGATGTTTTTTCCTTCGACATGTCCATGGTAACTGCTCTGTCTAAGATCTGACCAGCAGCGAGGAGCCGAGCAGCGTGTGAGAATGGAGCTGGAGGAAAAAAATCCGGACCCTAAATACGGTAAGAATAGGTTTATGTTACTGTTTTCTCCTCGATCTTTGTTTTTTTTTCTCCAAACGGGCAAAGAAATGGAAACAATGACTGCAAGGGATGGATGGGTGTGGACCTCATGGGTCTTATGCAGATCTGGAGTCATCTCTTCTGTCGGGTTATTTTCGAAGGAGTTCTCATCTTTTATGTCAGAAAATGTAGGCTACATTTCATTAGTCTTATTTTTTTACATTTTACAATAAACAGTGAATGAAGGCAGCATAATGTAAATGAATGGTTAGCAGCATACAAACCAAATATAGCTTCAAATGGAACCAAAACTACACAGCTCTTGTTGCTATATGGCTAAATTTTACTGATAACATAGGCTGACAAAGAAAAGTAGGTTGCCTTCTATTAAAACAAGGCCTATCTTGATGGGAATTAAATTGCCTTCATATTCTGGTTATTCTGTATCGCAGGAACCCACATTAAACATACCACATAGAAGGAGTAGATATTGTATTTGGTTGTTTTCCCCTGGGCTTTGTAGATTGGCATATGGTCATTTCATCCACAGATGCACACAGATGATTACACATGCACACTCATGCAGTTGACAGATGTAAATTGTTTTTGTTCACTCAGATTTTTTTTTGCATTCACATATTATGGAAAATCCATTCCCTAAACCAGCCTAAGACATGACTCATCACTGATTATTATGTGTGACACACGTGCATTTTCTCCACCAGCACCAACTTAGCAGCCTGGCGTGGTCTTCTTGTGTCTGGGCTGGGTTGTTGTTCATATGGACTGTTGAGTCATGAAGTTTTCATAACCGGTGTTATTCTTTCATTAAGACCCCATGTCAGTGTTGTCACATGGGAGGACAGCCATACACAGCTCAAAAGCAAACCGCAGTCTTCACACTGGTATTTAACTGGGAAGACAACACTAACGCTGTTTGACAGATGAGTTGTTGCTTCTTTCACAATGAACGATGCTCCCAACAGCCCACACCCACAATGCACATCCTCATCAATCAATCCATGGAGCTCCCACTGTGGAGCATTTCCTTGTTGCTTTCCTGTTACCATGTAAAAAGCTATTTTTCCATAGCTCCCCTCCCCATGAAAGGTAAAAAACCACAGCCCATTTAAACTGGAGATAGGTTTATACGATTCAAGCACACAATACAGATTCCAGCTCACCAGTATTCTGAAACAGCAGTTTGTATTAGCAGTTTGACCTGTGAGCTGTCCCTGGTTGCCTACTAGTACTACTACAATTTACGTCTGTCTAGGCCTGTGTGTATACAGGCAGGCAGGCTGCAGCCTGCACCGCCTGGACTGTGTTCAGCCTTGCCTGCTCTACATACTCAGTAGACACAGTCAAGAGGCTTCCAGTTAATATCAATCTGGCAAACTATCAGATTCATTACCACACACACTACGTGCACTGCACACACACATGCACGCAGAGACAATGCGAAATGTTAAACAATAAGAGCTTGTCATTTGGACTTTGGTAACTGATGGTTTGGAAAAATCAGACAAACGTTTGCTGTTTGATCCAAGCAGTTTCTGTGAGGAGTAGAGAGAGACAGAGAGAGAGAGTGATCTGAGCCAGTGGTAGTCAGAGTTTAAGAATTTAACCCTGCAAAAATAGACTTTAATGTGTTCTCTCCTGTCCTTTTTAAGAGTATGTGGGCCAATGACTTCATTAATAGCTGTAAAAGGGGAGTTTTTGTGAAGCATGAACAGCTGTTGATGCATCCGCATACAGTAGTTTCTGTGACTAAATATAAAGATAAAAATGTCATGAAAAATAGCAAGGGAGACCAAAAGGAATATAAATGTCTCCGTGCATGTACAGTCCTCATCTGCGCACACACACAAATACACACACACACCAAACAACCACAGTTGCTGCTAACCCATTAAGGTAGCCAGGGAAGGGCTCATCTGATAACCCCTCTGGGCCCATTAGTCAATCACATCACTCATGACATCATCACTTCCTTTAAAACACACACACACACACACACACACACACACACACACACACACACACACACACATATATATACATACATATATATATATATACAGACACACAACCATGACACATATTTTCAGCAGAAGAAGCCATATTACTCCACTTTTAGTATTCACATTTGTTTCCATTCACTTTTTAAAAATCACGCAGACTAGTCTGTTAGGCCCTGTGGGTTTTCAGCACCAGCGCCCATCAAGTATGTATTGACGTACCTGAGGATCCCAGGCTAAAAAACCTAATGTCTATTTACTAAAACATTTTCTTAAAGTTTCTACATTTACATTTGCATTTACATTTACTCATTTGGCACTTTTATCCAAAGTGACTTACATTTGAGGAACAACATACAAGCATCAACAGAGCATCAAATACAGATCTACAACTGACAATACTTACTAGTAAGAGCAGCAATAAGTACTAGTAAGAGCTCATAGTACATATCACATCAATGGGGTAAATACCTAGGGAAGGAAGTAAGAGTTAACAAAAAGTGCAATCAAAACAAGATAATTGTAAGGGGATAGAAAGAGAAGAGCACAGGACGTGCATGTTAGAGGTTAGGAGTTAGAGAAGAGGAAGTGTTCTTGGAAGAGATGAGTTTTCAAGAGCTTCTTGAAGTTAGAGAGGGACGTCCCTGCTCTGATGGCGTGTGGTAGTTCGTTCCACCATCGTGGTGTCACAGATGAGAATAGCCGGGACTGGGATTGCTTTGTGTGAAGTGATGACAGAGCCAGGCAGCGTTCGTTGGAGGAGCGTAGCGGCCGAGAAGGAACGTAAGTTTGTGTTATGGTGTTTAGGTAGATGGGTGCAGACCCAGTAGTCACTCTGTATGCAAGCATTAGTGACTTGAATTT